CCCCCCCCCCCCTCCCTCTCGGCGGCCCTGTTTAGCAGCACTCATGACAATAAAGATGACTTAAATAATGAGCCCTCTACGGGTGAAATGAGCAGGGCCGAAACTCCAAACATACCGCTATAAAAACTGAAATTTGAACGGGCATTTTGCGAAAACATCCGACGATAGTACTATAAACTCGCACGGGACGAATTTTGACAAACATTTTTCAAATTAATACCAAGAAGTCATAACCAGTAATTACCTAAATTTCTTTGCCAATTTTACATGTATAATCCACGCTTAGTTGACCATTAACCGACACAGTTATAAACAGTATATCAAACATAATTTATATTTTGTGATTTCAAAAAAGTCATGCCTTGCATGTTGTTTTACGCAGAATGCATGTACACGTCAGTTGGGGTATTAAATTGTTCGCGTAAAAATCCGTAAAAATTGCCAAAATTAAACCCAAATTTCTCCGTTTTCCTTCGGTAATTTTTTTTAAAACTTTGCACATTTTTTAATATCGGCACAACAAGTGCAATATATACTTTTTTCTTAAAATTAAATCGAAGGGAAAATTTTTAATATTGATTTTTGACGTTTTTAAAATTTTCTAAGAAACGTATCGATTTAATTTTTTTAAATTGAGGGAAAAAAGTCATTATACAAGTATTATCTTTTATGCCAAGTTTTAAAAAATTTCACCTTAAGGGAATTTTTAAAATGACCTGAAAAAGACAAGTTTTGAGCTTTATTCTAAGCATGCTGTTGCCATGACAACATTTTTTTAACACAAAAGTAGCAATTTGCAATGTTCAGAGAACATTGTCAATGTGTCCAATAAATTTCGTTTTCATATCATGTAAAGTAAAGAAACAGGAGTCTCCTGAATACTATAGTGCAGTAAATTAAAAAACCCTAGGGAGCCACCTTAAATACAAGTTTTTTTAAATAATTAATACCAAAACAACAGCGAAAAGAACATGTTTATTAAGAATATAAATTTTTCAGAAAAAGACGAATGAATTTGCAGTCAACATGCAAACACTTACTATATTACCAAACATATGTATAATACATCTGAGTTTATCTGTGAGATATACCGGTTCTAAAACTATTTCCTTCGCTTCGTTTTCGAGTTGTAAAACAAAAGTATTTCAAATTTTCAAGGCCAAGTGGTTTTTGGCCGAACAAATTGTCAAGACAGTGTAGCAGAGGATAATGGACCATTCCCCAATTAACCAAAATTTTGAACTCGACAATTCTAGACAAAAATTTCATCCCAGCTTGAAAGAGCATCACAAAATTATTAATATTCCAAAGTTTCGTTGCGAAATGTTGTAAAATGCGGAAAATATAGCCTTGCAAAATTTGCAATTTTCAGTCATTTTAGATTACAAACGGGAATCTAAAATGTCTAAAATGTAATCTAAAATGACTTAAAATCACAAACTTCGCAAGGCTATATTATCCGCATTTTGCCACGAAACTTTGGAATATTGCTAATTTTGTGATGCTCTTTCAAGCTGTGATGAAATTTTTGTTTAGGCTAGTTAATATCAAAATTTTGGAAACGTGGTAACCATTTCTCGTTTGTAATCTAAAATGACTGAAAATTGCAAATTTTGCAACGCTATATTATCTGCATTTTACAACATTTCGCAACGAAACTTTGGAATACTACTAACTTTGTGATGCTCTTTTATGCTATAATGGAATTTTGTCTAGACTTGTTGAGATCAAAATTTTGGGGAATGGTCCATTTATTTATTGCTTCAGTTTATGGCTATTAGACTATATTTACGCGCCTCGTCGGCTTTCAGCTCATATACGACTTAAGCTGTATAATTCTTATTGAATTCTGATGGTTAATTGGCTGTTTATGGTCACGTGATATTGAATAGAAAATTCCATTTCCCAAGAGGGCAATGGAATACGTTCCATTGCACCCTTTGCGAGCGCAATTGTACTATACATTTTATTCCATTGCACTCTTTGTGTTTTCGATAAATCACATCCGTCAAAATGCTTCTCGTACTGTGATCGCAGTTTGTTTTAACCCGATATTCGAAACTCAGTAAATGGGATTTAACGCAAATACGACTCGTCAAAATGGCGGGAGCTTACAGTAGTTGTAAACCTTTTAATATTAGTCTATTTTGGTATTATATCAAACAAATAATGAATGTTTTTATTCGATCGTGCAATGGTAAAAATATTTTCATTCGGTGAAAGATGGAATTATTATTATTTAAAATTCTTTATACACGGTAGCTCAAAAAACCTATTAATTTCTACTAAACATATATATAGTTTTCTGATAAAGTTTCAAATAATTAAAATGGTTGCTTTTTATAAGGCCGTGTAGAAATTTAAGCTAAGCAGTGGAACAAAAATTTACTAAAGTATATATCATGCATAAACAGGACATTGGTTCCAATGTTCCATTCAACTCTGCTATCGCCTCGTTGCTATCACCATCTTTCACCTCATGAAAATATTCTGAAAGTGTAATTAAAATGTAACATGTTAATTTACTGTGGTACACTTCTCTATTGTTTTTAGGTGTAGGATTCTTGCATGCTGACTGGAGCTAGAAAATGTCTTTTCCAGATCCTCATCTCCCTTGCACTCGTTGCTGCAGTGAATATGAATGTCCGTATTGTCCTAAACTTGCGTTTCCAAATTCTTATGCTCTCATTAAACATTTAAGAAAAAGCTTTTCGCATAAAGAACGAGACGAAGCTTTTTGGTGCGCTTTATGCAAGGAGTCATTCTTAAGTAAAGTTGGTTATATCCATCATCTCAAACAAAAGCGGATTCACAAGTATGATCTTCATCAGGCTGCATGTTGTGGGAGATTTCAAGATGTTGGCCAATTCATCCACACTGAAGACGCAGATGCTACAGGGGCTTCACATAAGGTTAAATTTGGTAATCCACCTCTTCAGATCGGTTTGACACCAATGCACTGTGCCGCATTCATGGGATATTCAAGGTATTTATGCTATTAACAACATTTTATGAGCATCGATTGGAAACTTATTGTTACTTTATTTGATCGATATTGTAAACGTTTGCCTGTTAGATGGCGAAGCTGCTTCAGAACATTTTGCGACAACTTCTAACTTCAGGATAAAAACGCTTTGTCTTAGTCGATTTTGCCAGATCCTTCCATCGTGTTTGAGTTGTAAATAAGGCAACAATTCTTTGACGTGTCTGTCAGTAACTAAAACATAAATGTAGCTGAATTTTAATGCATGCGTGCAGTTCGGGTAATCTTGTAGCTACGTTGTGAGTGGCAACGTAGTCCCGTATAGTGTTTTCAGAAATCGTGCGCATTGAAATATTCAAATTTTCGATATATGGGAGCATAGATATTTTTCGGTATTATCGTCATATCAAGCTTTTTCAAGATTGAT